ATATATTCAACCTTGTTCTAAAAAATAAATCTACAAAATTATTTCGATGACAGTAAAGATGAGGTATCAAAGAATATTGAGTAACATGAGAATATACTCAGAGTACTGCATTAATTGAAAAAAGTGAGATATAGAATTGTATACAGTATATATCCTCAACCATACATATATGATTAAGATAATAATATATACACAGTTTTGTGTGTATTTATGTCATAGACCAATACATTTACACATTAAAATAAATGGGAAGGCTACCCTAAGAAGATAGCAGTGGTTGGGTTACAAACGCTTTTTTCTGCCTTATATAAAACATGTTCCCCTCTACACAAACATGCACACAGACATGAATGCAAACTACATGACAACAGAAACTTTTGTTATGTTCACCCAAGTACCGCCAGACCCAGAACACATTCTGGCACACAAAGGTTCTAAATAAATATCTCCTGAATAAAGAAATGAACATATGCGCCCTGACCTGTTGGGCTCAGCGTTAGAGCATCGGCCCACGGACCAATGAGTTGTGGGTTCGATTCCTACCAAGGGTACGTTCCTCGGTTGTGGTTCGTCCCCGGCCCTGGTTGGGGTTGTGTGGGAGGCAACCAGTCGATGTGTCCCTCTTGTGTCGATGTTTCTCTCTCTCTTCCTTTCTCTCCCTCCCACTCTATCTGAAGATAAATGAAAAAATATCCTCAGGTGAGGATTAAAAAAAAAGAAGAAATGAACATACGCTATTTTCATAGGGAAAAAGGGGGACTTTATGTTTATTTTTAAACCCTTCTGCTCAACTCATGATCCACTGTTTTTAGCTCAGTACATTGTAGATTATCTTTTCACCTCACTTTGATACTTAAATGTCGGTTCCTCTTACTTCCCTCCAATATTATAGGCTGCTTTAGAAAAATAAAGAACAAAACCAAACCAAACCACAGTGGTAATTCTGATGAATAAAATATTAAAACCTGTCCTCACTTGCAGGTCTTTCTTTCGCCCTGCCATACAATCACCTGGGAGTGCAGCAAGGCAGATAAGATCTATGCCAGTTCTTAAAATGGGATCCCTCCCCTAAAACAGCTTCTACAGACTGCAATTCACAGGCTTTTTCTCAGCTGTTCACTGGAGCCACTCAGAATATGCCACTAATGCAGGAAGATAACATTTTGATTGACAGCGTAATCAATTTCTAATCATGTCAATTATCTTATCTATTTGGAACACATGCAGTATGTTCACTCTCTCACTGTCACCGACTCCACGATGTCGGGCAGCCAGAAACTACTAATGGACGCACATCCCCTTGTCCGTCAGAGACAAATGCTTGCTGTAAAGCACTTTCTGTAATGTACCTCAAAACAAAATATAAATGATTTAGTGATTGGCTCTTATTTCAGATCCTCTCTCGACCTTGCATGGCCTCCGTTAGCAGAGGGGACCGGGAGCAGGCTGGAAGTCAGGCTTGCTCAAGTTTCAGAAGTCTGAGGTCAGATACTGGTACGAGTGGTTCTGCTGACAGGGTTCTGTTCACTGCAGCAATCGGGCCCAAGGCAAAGGCCAGATCTCTTTCCAGGAGAGAGTACATCACTACCATTAGATGGGTCTCATCGGGGCTTCAAAATTACTGGAAGTTTAAAATATATGGCATCCAAATGAAAGATTATAAATATATTCTTATAAATGTTAAATGTCTTTGAATAAGAAAAACATATATATCTAACAAGTTCTGAAATCTTTAATCTTCCCACAGATCAATTTTTTTCCATTTGTTTAAAAAGGAAAATTCTTCAGCTGTCTTACAAGGCATTCTGTGATAATGCCATTCAAAATTAAATATGTATACTATATTGAGCATGTTTTCATTAAAAATTTTAAACTATTTAGCTTCTTGTTTTTATTTTTACCATAAATGGTGTCATACTGTAGATAATATTCTGTAATTTTTTAATAATTATTTTAAAAATTCTGTATCTGTACATATGAGTCATTCCATTCAACTATATAGATGTATATAGATGTACTATTAATTCATTAAACCATTTACCTGTTGATAAACACTCCAGTTGTTTCTAATTTTTTGTTATAACCAAAACTACTGCAATGAATATCCTTATATAGCTCTCTTATGTGCAACGAACATTTCCTTAGGATAGATATGTAGAATTGCTAGAAAGAAATTTTCAATTTGACATTTTCCAATACCAGATATTAATAATCTTCTAAATATCTGTCAATTTCATGAGCATAACATGGTATTTCACAATTTTAGCTCACATTACTCAGATCACTAGTGAGATGATAACTGGCTACTTTTTCTCTTCTGTGAAATATAAATATAAATATTTCTATTTATAATCTTTGTCCATGTTTCTTTTTCCCTTACCTGTAAACATTTTTATATATTCTGGATATTAATTCCTTATCTAATATATCCTCCTACTCTGTCATTATTTTAACTTTGTTTATGCTGCCCATTGTGGTATGAAAATTTAATTTTTAATAATTTAGTCATACTTCAAATACTTTTCTTTGTGACATTACATTTTTCGTGGCTCCATCCTCTTGGTTAAAACCCTTTCTCCTATACTTGTTTCTAACACGGAGGTCTGGGCACAGATGTCCTGTCCCTGTGAGGCGCTGAGGAAACCAGCCCCTTGAGCTGTGGGTTACAGTTTAGCAGCATCTCCTTCTAATGCTGTCTGGGGGAAGCAAAGGGTGACACCTCAACCCGAGGAGCTGTTTGTGAGGGGACAATGATGAACTGTGGTCCCTCTGCTGTCGGGCTCCTTGGGCTACTACAGCTGTCGGACTCGCCAGCCCTACTACAGCTGACTAGGCCTTGGGGAGCCTTCCTCTAGCCAGCCCGCAGAGCAGCTGATACCCCTGGAGGCAAATGAGCTTAAAGGCCAAAATAACAAGGTATTTGAAAAGTACAACCACTGCAAAATAAAGACAACATAATCAACTACAGATTCTATCAGCAGAACTATTAGAACTGAATGATCACGAATTTGAAATTGGAATGCTAACTATACTAAAAGAAATATAGCAATATGTGACAAGAACAAGAAAACATAGAATCAGACCAAGCAATAACAATAGGTATCAAAAATGTTATAGCTCACAGAAAGAACACAATGCATGGTATAAATAGCAGAAGCAACAAACTTGAATATTGGAAGATGAGATTGAGAACATCTCCCAGAAAGAAAAAGACAAATACAAATACATTTTTAAGAATAACTAAGACCAAAGCAAAAGAAAAACATATGCACAATTACCCAGAAAAAAAAATCAACATAATACCAACGTGGTAGTTGTTGCAGTGTGGGAGACCAAAAAATAAGAGAGCTTCCTGTATTTAATTTCTTAAATCTAAATATTTTTAGATAAAAAATTTTAAAGTAAGTAGAAATGTAGAAAGGGTAGGACAAATTGGAATAAGGGATGTGAAAAATATGTCTGAATATATAAATAAAATAATGAGTAATTTTAGGGGAAATAAAAAGCTATACAGGAATACTACATGTGCATAATGCGTACACTAGATGGCCCTACACAGTATTTACAAAGTCCTAATGATGTCAGGGTGAATGTTTACAAACCAGAGGGAGGACGATGGGGACCAGGAAGTCTGCATGTGTGTGGCAGGGACCAGGGGAGGAAGAGAGCAAATCCTTACCTTCCAGTGGGAATCAAGAGCTAATGTGTAGAATAGAAAAATTAAAAGATGGCTAAACAAGAATATTATTTAGAGACATAGAGTTAAAGGGCAAGATCACGTGCCACAAATGGACAATGGTTGACTTTAAGGAAGGCAGTACAGGGGGCACGGGGCCGAACTGCTGTTCCTCTAAACTCTTATGGAACCATTGGGTCTTCAGACCATGTGTTGTGTAACTTTTATTAAAACAAATACATATGTGTATGAAGGGAAAGAGGGAACCCAGACTTCTTAAGGGCTGGACACACCACCCTCTCGTTTGAGAAGTGACTTTACAGCCTATGCAACTGGCAGGAAGCAGGCTTCCTCCATGGGAGACTTGAGGAAGCAACTGAAGACAGCTTGTCTCATTTAGTGAGAAAGAACCACTGTAGCTATTAAAAAGTACGAACTCTTCCTTTCTCCTTCACCTCTGGTGCAAATCTGGACTTGACACAGGGCCCACTGGGAACGAGTTTCAACTTCCGACTCCGTTCCCCACGTGCTGGAAATCCTCTGCTGAGCACAAGGTGTGTCAGGGCCGATGCCTGACTATGGCACCCACCCCAGTTCTTAAAATGACTCCCTCAGAGAGCCCAGTCCATATCTTCTTTCTCCAAACCTACTTAAGAAATAAGCATTTTTTTCTTCCACAAATAATGACTCCTGCCCACCACTGTGAATAATCTATGGCCTAGGGAAAATTTGCAATGCTTCCACATCAAATGTAGACAACATGCATAAGAACAGGATCTTGGCAAGGAGCAATGTTTGTGACAGGTCATAGTATTTCCATTTTTATCAAATACTTGTTTTCTGTTTGTCTGTTAATCCTCACCTAAGGATATTTTTCCATTGATTTTTTTTTAGAGAGAATGGAAGGGAAGAAGGGAAGGAGGGGGAGAGAGGAAACACTGATGTGAGAGAGACACAATGAGTGGTTGCCTCCTGCAGGACCCCGAACGGGGCCAGGGATGGAACCTGCCACCCAGGTACATGCCCTTGACTGGGAATCAAACTCGGGCCAACACTAACTGCTGAGCCAAACCTGCCAGGGCTCAGATACATTTTGATCACACTATTGCTATGGCTGTTTCAAAGGCAGTGTACAAAAAATGCCAGACATGTTGAATCCTGTCTTCCTGTTTATATGATCTGAGGCAGAGCCACAGGTGTTTAACATTCATGCATTTGTTCCTAATCCTTGTTTATAGATCCTGAGATGGAGTTTCTTTTAGGGGTTGGGGGCAAATCAAGTACATATATGGAAGGAAGGAGCAGTTTAGGGAAACCAACGTACCTTCAGCATGTAGTAGAAGGGGACCCATGACAGGAAGATGTCAGAGAAGAATTCGGCGATGCTAAACACACCATACACTACCCAGTAGGTCAGCCACTGAGTATCATCTTCTTTGTTGGGACTCTCTATGGCTTTAATTCTGAAAGGCAAGAGTATCATATAGTAAGATCTTAATGAAACATTTTCTTTTTTTTTTGTTATCCTCATCCCAGGATATTTTTCCTTTGATTTTTAGATAGAGTGGAAGGGGAAGGAGGGAGGGGAGAGAGAGAGGGAGTTGGGGGGGGTGTACATCTATGTGAGAGAGACATATCAATGGTTGCCTACTGCATGACCCCAACCAGGGCCAGAAATAGAACCTGCAACCCAGGCATGTGCCCTTGACCGGGAATTGATCCTGAGACCCTTTGGTACGCAGGCTGACGCTCTAACTGCTGAGCCAAACCAGCAAGGGCTCCTCTGCTAATTTTTAATTGGATTGATTTTTTGGTGTTAAATCGATTTCTTCATATATTTTGGATATTAACCCTATATCAGATGTATCATTTGCAAATATCTTCTCCCACTCAGGAAGCATGATACTGCCCACTTTGTTCTTTCTCAAGGTATCTGGCCATTTGTGGTTCCATATAAATATCAGGATTAACTGTTCTAATAAAAAATAATTTTTTACTTCTAAATCACAGAAATTTCTTCTAGTCTTGGAAATTTCTTCATTCTAAACCCGAATTCCATAATTTTTTTTTATCCTATCCTAACATGTCTGGATACTTATCATAACTAAAATAGTAAACTAGAAGAAAACTGAATCTTGGTTAGCCCATGGTATGAGTTAAATATTGAAAATACACTGGCTACTTGGTAAAATGGGTCCCCCAAAGTAACAGCCTGCTGAATCACGCTGAGTCGTTCACAAGAAAGCCTCTAAATTGATTAGAAGTGTACATGTGTGCGTGTGCATGCATGTATAAGTGTTTTTAGAGAAAATAACCAAGGGAGAGAAGCTGCATGAGACGCCTGCTATCGATACAGGACCAGAGGGAAAGAAGGACGTGATGAAGTGAACGCTGCTTTCAATATAAGACCAGGAAAAAGGTTTTCACTTTAACCCAAAAATCATACAAAATGAATTTACAAGAGCTGATTATAAAACACAGACTATCTGTGTTTTAGCTTTCCTCAGATAGAAACTAGCTAATATAATAGAAGGCCAAAGAAAAAGTATAGACAAGCACATTAATCAAAAACAGACAATACACCTTTTTACACGTAAAGTTTTCTCCTCTGCGCTTTATCTGAGTGTGGTTTATCTATTTATATCTAAGTGAATTTTTAAAGTTATTAGAATGATAAAATTTAATTTTTTATACATTCATTCTGGGCAGAAGGGATACACAGTTATATTTCACTTAAAGTCTTAATTTTGGGAACTAAAGCAGTCCATGAGTAAGTAAGCACACATGTCCACACATAAGTATAAACTGCTAAACATTTCATAAAACCATCTGATAGTTTAGATTCCATTCTATCATTTTTTAAAAGATATTAGTCAAGATCCACAGATTCAAAAACAGAAAAACTGCCCAACAGTTCAATTTCAGTACATCAAGGGGGGGGGGGGGGAAAGGTTAGTTCCTTAACTTATCAACAATATGATTTTAAAAGTTTCTATGTTAATACACCTGGAACATTATATGTAGTAACACCAAAAAGTAGAAAAAAAAATAACTCAAACTTGATTACAACTTTGTAAGTAACCAGAGCAATGAAAGAAGACAAGAAAAGACCATAGTCTTATTAAGATGAAGAAATTAAAAAAAAAAAATAGAACTTCTCATATATATATATTTTTTTTAATCCTCACCCGAGGACATTTTTCCATTTTAGAACTTCTCATATTATTGAAGCATTTAATTATTGCTGTAACTTAAAATAACACAATGTGCCCTGGCCGGTTTGGCTCAGCAGTTAGAGCGTTGGCCCATGGACCAATGAGTTGCGGGTTCGATTCTGGTCAAGGGCACGTACCTCAGTTGCAGTTTGTCCCTGGCCCTGGTCAGGGTCATGCAGGAGGCAATCAGTCAATGTGTCCCTATCACGTTGATGTTTCTCTCTCCCTCCCGCCCACTCTATCTGAAGATAAATAGAAAAATATCCCTGGGTGAGGATTAAAAATTGATAAATATAAAATAATACAACGTGTGTGTTTTTTTTAAAATACAGCTACATGTCATAAGCTAGTCAGAATAAGAAAGAACACTGAAGACAGTCTCACCCCTTCAGTTTACAGCTGAAGAACCTGAGACTTAAAAAGGTAGAGAGCCCTGGCCGGTTTGGCTCAGCGGTTAGAGCGTCGGCCTGCGGTCCAGAGAGACCCAGGTTCAGTTCCCGCTAAGGGCATGTGCCTCGGTTGCAGTTTGTCCCCGGCCCTGGTTGGGTTGTGAGGGTGGCAGCCACTCGATGTGTCCCTTTCATGTCGATGTTTCTCTCTCTCTCCTACTCTATCTGAACAAAAAAAAAAAAAAAAAGATAGAGAAGAAGAGAGCTTAAAACTGGGGGTTCCTGCCTGGTCGGTGTGGCTCAGTGGATGGAGAGTCGTCCAATGGACTGAGAGGTCCTGGTTCAATTCCCGGTCAGGGCACATGCTTGGGTTTCGGGCTCAATCCCCTGGTGGGAGGTGTGCAGGAGGCAGCAAATCAATGCATCTCTCTCACATCGATGTTTCTCCCTCTTACGCCTTTCCTCTCTAAAAATTCAATAAAAACATATTTAAAAAAACAAAACAAAAACAGGGTGTTCCTGAATGCTATTTACTTATGTACTTCCTTGTCCAGGTCAGTGGACATAGGTGATTCTTCAATAATACACTCTACTGCCTTGTAGGTGTACTGAATCATTTCAACTTCTGTATTAGAAGGAGGCTGTATCAACTTAGGCAACACAAGAGGATTCAAGAAATCACAGGATGCACTTCATGCCCTTAAGTCATTTGCAGTCCAGTCAAAATGGCAAAGCTAAAGTAGGGGAGGGGTAAGGAGCCTTATAATTATTTAATTTAACCTTCACAATACCCTTTGGAATAGGGGTTATTCTCATTCTTGAGAGGAAGAAACAGAGACATGGCCGGGCACAGAGATGGTTGGCAAAAGTATAGTATAGGAGCAGCTAGCAGCTCAAAAAATTTAAAAGATCACTAATTTTGCCTAAAAAAAGACATGTTTGTGTATGTTTACCGATTAAGAATGGTGTCCAGAAATATACATTTCAAATCATTAAAGCTATTCCTGGGTATTGGAATTGCAGATTTTTACTGTCTTTGCAATGAGCATGTACTATTTTTTATAACAAAAGGAAGGAAAAGGATTTCTATTTGGGGAAAAAAATGGACGCCAGACTTTCTATAACTACTTCCTCCTATGAGATTAGGTCTCTCTTTAGGGCTTTGTTAAAAACAAACACTAAAGTGAACATCAGACACATTCACTTAATTTCTCTCTTGAGGAAACAGTTCATGTTTTTCTTACAAACAAACAAACCTCTCTAACAATGATCAGACACAATCTGTTGTTTTAGAGCATTAAAAGACCTTGAATACACACATAAAGACACAGAGAAAAGAGTCATACAGCCCTTCCCACAAAACTGATGCATCCTAATTTTCTAGTTAAACAAATTATTTAAAAAAAAAAAATACACACACACACACACACACATATATAACCAGGCTTTTCCCATCATTTCTTCCCAATGCTCATCATTTCACCATCCTTAGCTTGCAGCTTTGTATCCTAGTTCTACCACTTCCGAGGTATATAACCTTGGGCAAATTATTCTGGGCCTTAGGTTCCTCATTTGTCAACTAGGGGTGAGAAACCTCATTGTGTTGTTGTAAAGACTAAATGAGTTAATACATGTAAAGCACTTAGAAACAATGACTGGAACAACACTAAATAATACCTTAATAGGTAGTAACTACAATATGGTAATAATTTATTATCATTGGGAGGCTAGAAATTGAAAAGAAAGTATGATAAGAACACTCCAGTACTTCCTACTAAGCAGAGCTGATAAAGGATTAATAGCATTGCTAACAGGCTAAAAGGAGATTAGAGAATTACCCATGGGTTTTAATTATAACTCACTATCGAAATCCCAAATGCTACAGAGTAGAGTCAGCTGAAATTCCAAAAACCCTATTGGCAGGTCAGTAAGAACAGATTTAACACTGCTGAAAACAGTTTTAGACACACACTGCAAAGGTGGCTGGCCAAAATTCTGTACAGTAGTATTGAATTAGAACTGATATATCCATACCCACTGGCCAGCCCACATCCAGACTACTGGTGCCGGTGACTAGTACGAGCTGCCTCCACCCTCACTGGCCTATTTATTGTTCACACCTTTGCTGCTGCTTCCTAAAAGCAAGGCCCGGAACCAAGTGTGGCCAGAGAACAGCCTTAAACACAAAGTTCATGTTTATTATGTGTAACATGTCATAGCATTCAGAAGTTTCAGCAATTAACAAATATAAAAAAATATATACCACCAAACTTTTAACTAATATTTGTATTATAAATATACCAAGAGTAGCAAACAGGAAAAGCAGAGGTGGGGGAAGCTATATTTTCTATGTTTTCGAGGTATTCCTGTCATCGTTTCAATTATTGAGATGTTCTTCCATCAATGACAACTTCAGTTAAAGTGTATCATTGGGATGGATGTTAGATTTTCATACTTCAGTGAAGTTATAAATTAAGCATTTTTGACACTGCATTAACTCTTTCAGACCCAAAGGTTATTCCTAGTTACTGAGTATTTCAACACATTCATTCATGTCATTAAATTGTAAAAGGTCAATTTCCTACATTAGAAGGGAGTATATACTACATAACTATTATATTTATGCATCATAAACACATACATATACAATGAATGGTAAGCATAAGATTGATGGCAAATCTGAAAAGCTCACTGAGTTTTACCAGTTTCATTCCTAACTCCTATATTCCAAATGATATAATAAATAATAAGTAAATAAAGCAGTTAATAAATAAAATCTATACCAATAAAAACGCTTTGAGGTGTGCTATTCGTAAAGAACAGAAAGGAAACTGCTTGTGATTAATTTGTTTTATTTCT